CCTGTCCTCCTCCCCCTTCTGCCCTCCTCTTCCTCCTCCACCTCCTCCTGTCCTCCTCCCCCTTCTGCCCTCCTCTTCCTCCTCCACCTCCTCCTGTCCTCCTCCCCCTTCTGTCCTCCTCTTCCTCCTCTTCTTCCTACTCCTGTCCTCCTCCCAACAGCAGCTTGGTGCTAAACTTTCCCTCTTGGTCAGATGTGAGCTCGGCCCTGATTGGACAGACGTCTGTAAAAGAAAACAGGAAGTTGCGTCTCTGTAAAGGTGTGAAGCTGGCGTCGTTTAAAAGTCCGTGAGCGTCAGACCAGATTTAACCCGGAGCGCGCCATCCCTGCGTTCAGTCGTGAACCATCAGCAGCTCTGAGGTCAGGGCAGCGTGGAACCAGACGTCCGTCAAGACATTTTGCTCGTCGTCCACGAGGCGTCTTCAGCTCTCCACCCCAACACGAGGCAGTCGGCAGGGGAACCCACCGACCCTCCAACAGCAGAACAACACTGACAGTCAGCGCTATGTATGTGGACACACAACTTTTCTGCTGTGGGCTGTGTTCATCAGCACAGTGGATTTTAAATGACGCAGTTAGAGCGCAGACAGCTTTAATCCAGTGGGTTAAACAAAAAGACGATGTTTGGAACTAAAACGTGTTTCAGAGCGCCTTGCGTCAGGCGCTCTGAAGTAATCAGACAAATGAAATGAGGGAAAATAAAATATTTGTGATTCTTGGTTGAAAACTCATTGTTGGCACTGAAAGACACGCCCATCACGCCGCCTCCCCGTGTGTTACAGATGCTGTGTGTGCTTTGTTCCTTTTCTCTTCCATCATTCTGCTAGAGGCTGATGTTGGTCCAGAGCTGTGCTGACTGCAAAGTCCAGTCTAGCCTTTCTCTTCGTGGGGTTTACGAGTGGCTTGCACCCTGCAGTGAACCCTCTGTGTGGATGTGGATTCCCTCAAACCAGAGCCGACAGTCGACACGTCCATGTGATTTATATAACTGTAGTTGGAACATGTTTCAGTAAACGGCTAAAAAGACAAAACTTGCCATTGTCCAAATATACATGGACCAAACTATACCTGTACACCTGCACCTAAAGGTCAAAGGTCACTCATTGCAGATACTGGTCTTCACATTTTGGACCAAGGAGAACTTGTTAAAAAGAGCACTAAAGGAGGACACTGAACTGAGATGGTGGCCTATGACACCACCTATCAGCCACCTATGGTGCAGTCCTGAGATCAGATCAGGGCTGGTGACCTCTGGTCCTTGTAGGACGGTGGGCTGGGCAGTGTCTCACAGAGGATAATGTGTCAGGACCACCTCCACGAGGGGTTCAGTAGCTCTTGTTTTTAAAACGTCTTCACAGACGAACAGCTGGCTTCTTTTCCAGTACTCAACACTCAGATGGAGGGTTTTACCTCAGCTCTGTGAAACGACTCTGGTTTGACGATCACCAGAAACAGCTCAACATTTTATTCAAGTTATCTGGTAACAGAAAAGTATCATCAGCATTGACTTCTAAGGAGAAAAGAACGGGCCCCAGCACAGAGCCCTGGGGGACTCCTCTCTCACCACATGTGGTTTGCTGTGAGAACTTTTCATCTTTTATTTGCATTTGTCTGAAAACATCCTCAGAGTGGCTCTGCCCGTTTTCCACCAGGTTCTTCATGACGGGCGGTCCTCAGAACTGAGCGCTGGGTTTGAGAGCTGGAGCGACGAGCCCCAAACGCCCGCACACGAGTCTCCTGGTCCCTGAAGGTGTCGAGAGCCGGACCGACCTGCAGAGAGCAGAGAGGGCGTCAGACGATGTTGTCATCGAGCGTGTCTGTGAACACGTCAGCCAGGTGTTACCACGCCTACACGCAAACTCCACACAGAGAAACGACAGCCGATGAAGATCATCCAAAAACCGCCGAGTCAGAGAAGA